TAATCTCTCTGTCCTCACCATGACAAGGACAGGATTTCCCTTCAAGTGTTGCAGCAGTGTGCTTGTCTAGGGTATCAGACACTGGAGTTTATTCTCCTGATGTGTGTAAATCCAGATGGAAAATGAGTAATTGTGTTTCTTTACAGGAAACTTTTATTTAGAAACCACCACCGGGCCAGAGAGATAAAAAGGGATATATGTTTTAAGTAAACCCTCTAATGATAAAGTGAAAAAAAAAAAAAAAAAAAAAAAAAAAAAAAAAAAAAAAGCTTTAAAAACTCACCCACACTAATTAGGGAGCCGGATTTGTTAGGGTTAGCGTGTCCAGGGGCTCCAGAGGAGCTGTTGCTGTGCCCTCTAGTGCCGGCGAGCTGCACTCCTCGCTGCAACGCCTGCACAGCCCCGGGCTTCAGCACCGGGAAATCCGAGCAGGGAGCTCTTACCTGCAGCACCTACCCAGGCCCTTTCCCTTGGGGCACTGCTGAGGTTACACGAGAATTTAAAAAACAAGCAAACAAACAAACAAACAATCGTATGTATACTCAAGCAGAGAGTTGCTAGAATAACTCTGGCAATTTTCCCTCTACAGACAAAACTTTAGGGTGAGTTTCATCCTTTCATTTTGCATTTGCTACCTTTGGAGGATGCCTGTTAATTTTTTTCTTACTAAGAATGTCTCAGAATCTGGTATTAATATTCTTGGTGGGTTTTGTTTGTTTGTATTTTAATTAAAAAATCAACAAATCAACCACCAAACAGAACATGTATTGCTTCTGTAATTAAAAGCAACTGGCTCTGAAATTAGCATGTATGTAGGATGGGTCATTCTCTATACATCAGTTTAAAGGACTGAAACCTATATCCAAGCAGTGTATTTTTAAGTGGATATTTTTGGTCCTGTCAAATTAGTAGCACAGGCAGAATACCAATCACTTCACTCATATAGCTACTGTTTGCAGTCACAAATTTATAAGTGACTTCTAATGACAGCAGGATTTGCAGTATTTTTATTACCTCTATTACCTACAAAAAATTAGTGCTATATTTATCTCTAATTATTTTCATTTACATGATAAAAATACTTTATTACTTCACTGTAGTTAGCATCTAGAGGTATTAAACCACTTGCAGCTTCCTCTAATAATTCTATTCCCTCTGTGATTAGAGCAAATGAAAACAGAAAAAGAAATTACTGATAAGCAACAAACTGATGGAAGCCTGCAAGCTGTCTCTGTGGTACTCACATATTCCTGTGCTAACACTTCAGCCTTTCTCCATCTCACTTAGCAATAGTTTGGGAAGAGGTACATGGCACTGTAGAATTGCAGACCAATGCCAGGCTCATTTTAATTTCTGCTGATATCATTAAGCTCAACTTGATCAATAAAACACTGTCCTTTAACATTTTCTTCCTCGGTCTGGTTTGCCTGACACCAAGTTTAGTTTTTGGCTTCAATGCATTAAAATAGATATTTTATAGGAAAACAGAAAGAGTTGATTTCAATGCCCACTCCTGGATATGTCTTACTCGGGATACCAACAGGCAAGCCAAGGCAGATAGCACCAGTAAGTAAAGATGACTAACTGGACTCTGTCTAGGGATAAATAAAACAAATAGCCAAAGAGAAGGGCAAAACCAAAAGAATGACTGCACTGACAGCTTTAGTGACATCGGGTTCTTTGCTTTTCACTTGATTTGAATTCTTCCTCTTCATGCTTCATCTCTCCCTGTTTCCCATGTGCTCCCTCTTGTGCTGTCTGCTGCTCTCCAGCTGCTCCCTGCTTACTGTAAATTCAAGCATTTTTCTGTTGGAGGGGATTCTTCCACAACCATGTACTACTTAGGTATTTTGTCATTGCATCTTCCTCTATTATTTTTTTCCTCCTTTTCATCATCAAAAGTTCTCCTTGAGGTACTGTTCAGCAGAATCACACATGGTGTAGCACCCGCACTCCATCAAATCCCCCTCCCAGGCAATATTCCTTCAGAATTTAGGAGTGTGATACTGTCAACCAAAGCAGAGGGAACTCATGAAGTCTACTTACCTCTGCATTCCAACAAGTTATGACCCATTTTGTGAATGAAAGCCTAATGACAAAATTCTCTCTCATTCCCCTGCCCCACAATCAGAATTAAATTCCAGCCCTCCATGATGTCTCCCATCCATCCAGGGCTCCCCTTTCTTCTGTCTCCCCTTGTTGTCATAAAAACTTCTCATGACAGTTTTTTTTTTTTCCCTATCTTTCCATAAACTGATTCTTTTCCTAAAATTTGCCTCATTTGAAGACCTAATCTTTTTCTTTGTACTCCTTATACATCAATGGATTTGCTTAAATTAAGCATGGTTCAGTCTTTAATAAAACAAACACCTTTCTCTTCAAAGTGTGATCACTGAGTAAGTGTAAAGATTCACCAAGTGTGTTTCTATTTTTTATTAAGAAGTTGGTTTAGCTTAAACTGTATTTCCAAAATGTATTTCACTCCACAGAGAAGAGAAGTTGTTATAGTCTCTTAAATACTGCATGCTCACACATCCCTTTGATTTCTCACCAGGATCCCAGCATGCAATAAACACCCTGCTCAAGCCTTGTGTATTGTTTTGATATCTGCTGGGTGAATCCTTCAGACTCAATACAGTTTTCTCAGGTGGATTTTCATTCACAGCTTAAACTCCCTATGAATAGAATGCACGTAGTCATCGCTTGCATCTCATTCATTTTTATGATGTTATCACAAGACGGGAGGGAGGTGTGTGCTATCCATGCAAAGAAATGTCCCCAGATTCCTGTGGGCTCAAGAAGGATGGAGAGAAGGAACGGATGGGTTGGTTCATGCTCCACTCATCCACTCCTGTGTGACAGTGAGACCCTGGGCCTGGCAGAGAGCACAGGCTGGACCACAGCCCTGCTGCCATTATGCAGAGGCTGGCTGCATGGCAAGCGGGTCATGCATCCGGGCTGACCAGGGCAGGCTCTCAAAGGCAGTATCCCATCCTCGTGTCCCAGCAAAGGTTATTTGCTTTCAGATGCTATTTTTATCTTGAATTATGGGCAGAGATTTTTCGTCGTCTCCCCCACCTCTCTGTGGCCCTGGGAACTCGGATATTCCCAGCACCACAGCGGGAGAGGAGCCTGCCCCTCGAATCAGGTTTCACAGACCGCTGTAGGGAAGCATGAAGTGTTCCTGGCTGATAAACTGTGTGAGCTGGGGAAGAGGGGTCTTCCCTTCTTTCTTCTCTTTTTAATCCAGTTATTATCTGATCTGCCTCCTTTAAATAAACAAACGTGCCCTTGATTCTCCCAGCTCTGGAGCTGACTGGTGATAGCTCTTTAATACCACCCACCCCTGCGCAGCCGGTAGCTGGCCTAGCAAATTATACACCTCCGAGTACAGCTCCCAGGACTCTGGCCAAGACCCCATCTGACCTAAATCTTGCTCATTATAAGCAGCCATAAACGTTTTTTGTTAAACAATGGCACTTACAGGAATATGTAATTTTTCTTTTGCAGTTTATAACTAAAGCCCCCTCTAGGGCATTTAATATAAATGACACTGAAAGAGGAAAAAATCTGCTTTTGATTTCCTTTTTATTTTTTTGTATGGTCATCTCAGAGGTTTTGCATTTATTGTTATTATTGTTTGCATATATTTCTTTCCTTCCTTCAGCCTTTGTTCAGAGGTTTGGACTTACTGAGCACATTGCCTAGCTTTAAGAAATATTGCAAAGAGCTGCCTCTTCTTAAAAAGCCCTGAGACCTGTAATTATATGTAGGCATCTAAAAATTAAAGTTTATATTATTAGCGTGATGAAACATAAAAGGCCTGAATCTGTGCTCTTAATACAAACAAATTGAAAGCACTCAATAAACGCTAAGCACTTACCAGTATTAAATGACAAAACTCGGTATCTGGATGCCTTTGGGCTGGGAAGCTATTTCAACCGCGGGGAACCTTGCTGCGACAATTTTCATAAGCAAATGTCATGTGCCATAAAATATATCTCCAATTATACAGCTGTAACATATGTATTGAGTATGAGCTCTGGTAATTACCCGCACTACATCTGGGTAAATGTTGGATTGTTAAATCGCTTTTATGCACCAAGGGTGCAAACCAAGGTGCTGGGGTGCTCCTCCGAGCCTGGAAGACCCGAGCTTCCCTGCGTGTCCCATCTGACCCCAAAATTTGGCTTGGGGACCACAAAGGGAGGTCCGTGCCAGGGATGCCCGGGAGGGGCAGGGGCAGGAGGAGCCCCGGCGGGGGAGGCCGAGCCGGTGAGGAGCCCCCCGGGCTGGGCAGCCCCCGGGGAACCGGGGGGGGACCGAGGGGATGGAAAAAGGGGGGGAAAGCGGGGTACTGGCACCGGTGCCCATCGTGCTGCTCCGCTCCTGGTGGGGTACTAGGGCAGCGAGCCGGGACGAGAAAGACCTGAGCTGGAGTGGGTGCTCGAATCCTTCCTCCTCCTCCTCCTCCTTTTCTCCTCCTCCCCTTTCTTCCTCCTCCTCTTTCTTCTCCTCCTCCTCCTCTCCCCTTCCTCCTCCTCCTCCTCCTCCTCCTCCCTCCCTGTGGGCAAATTGGGCTGCACCCGAGGCTGCTTGGCGGCGGGGCTCGCCGGGATAAAAGGATCCCCCCCCCCCTAAACCCCCGTCCCTCCATCCCTCGGCTCCCCCCGCCGCCGGGGCCGCGACCCCGCCGGCGGCAGCAGGCAGGAAAGTTGCAAACAACCTGCGGCCGCAGGAACTTTGCGCGCTGCTCCAGCTGCGTGCGTTCAAGGTGCCTTTGATGTGTGCAGCAGCTTCTGGAAAGCGGGCTGCAGCTTTTCCCACCCGCCAGCCCTCCCTCTCCCCACCCTTCCCCTCCCACTTCAGCCGCCACTTCAGCCCGCACACGCGATTTGTTTGAAGGGGAGGGGAGGGGAAGGGGAGGGGGGGGGGGAAGAGGGAGAGGAAAAAAAAAAAAAAAAAAAAAGTGATGAAATGAACAAGAAGTGGTGAAATTACCCAAGCGACTTTTCTCAAAGAGAGAGAGCAAAGCGGCGAGAGGAGCGGCGGCGAGCCCCGAGCAGCCCGCCCGGCACCGGAGCCCCCCGGGGGGGGCTGCGTGCTCGGGGGGCTGTGAGAGCGGCTCCGCAGCGAGATGCGAAAAGCCTCAGCTGTTTGCCTCGCCATGCCGGCTTCCCACTAGAATGCCAAGCCTTGCACAGGATGAAAACAGGTTCGTTTCCATTTCTGTTGGGAAATGTTGCGCTCCCCACCGCCACCACCTTGCTGTTGGAGATGCCGGAGAAGATCTTCATGATGAAGCAGAGCCCTCTGCTGCTGCGAGCCCTCCGCTCTTCTTCGGAGATGTTGAGGCAGAGATAAATCTTTTATGCAGCTGTCTTTTCATAGCTGTGGCGGTTGCCGTACAATCTGCACTTGATTGCAGCTAAAATATTCTTTTTAAGATCCGTTTCACAAATAAACACAGATGGGAGAAGTGGGAGAGGGAAAGCTGTACTGAAGTAGTAATGGTGGATTGATCTTCCTTCTTTCCCCCCCCTTCAGTGTCCTCCCCCCCAAATTTTCTGAACAAAAATGCTCTGTTTCAGTTTAAAGCAGGAAAGATTTGGGGGGCTGTCCGGATGGGGCTTTGGAGGAAGACTTCCATCAGTGGTGCTTGCCTTACTTTCCTGACTGTCCGTGGCTACCAAGCCCATCAGCCTCTGTCTTGCCTTCACCTGTCTTAAAGTCTCTCTTGTTTCTTCTAACACCTTGCAGGTCATTCCTCCAGAATGCCAGAGGAAAGTTCGCCAAAGCGGAGTCCTCAAAACATCCCGTACAAAGACCTGCCCCACATCATCAATGCTGACGGGCAGCATCTCTTCTGCAGGTACTGGAAGCCAGCAACAGCTGCCAGGTGAGCACTTTCCAGCAAATGCCCTTTTTGACTATCAGTAAATAAGCCTCTCTTCATGTGATTATTATTTTTAGCTTGGCTGGCATGCCAGGGCTGTGTGCATAGAGCTTTACAGAGCCACTGAGAAGAGATGCCTCTCATCTGAGAGAGCTCCTGCTGTGATGAGTGTATTCCCCAAACCTTTACTCCCTCAAGTTTGCCCTACAGATGTGAACTAGAGTTACTTGAGCACAGCTGGCTTGGTTGGCAGCTTCAGTATGCTACCGGGTGGCACACGCAGGTGGCTGGTGCCTACCAGCAATGAACAAGTGTCTCCAAACTAATAGCACAGGCAATCAGGGAGGGATGAGATGATGGCTTACTGATGTCTACTCTTCTTAATTTTCTTACTGACAACAAATAAAACAGCAGCATCTGACTTCAGTTTGAACAGTAATAGCACAAATCTCAGAGCAACAGGCAGGATTTGGTTTGACTACACTGCTTCTTGACTGCTTTTTTTTTTTTTTTTTAATTTATGGTTAATGAATGATTTAAGGACCTCTCACTGGAAACTGTCTGTGATTTCAAAACTAAACTCAGTAATAGACAAAGACTGAGATAGAGAAATGTAAATAATGTCTTTTTTCATAATTTACATAATCCCCTTACTGTAATGGCTTTCTGTGCTTATTACATGCTGATTGTGGTCTGCTATAGAAAGCTATTTGTGTTTCTCCCATAGTTATTTATGATCATTCCTCTTTCTGCCAGTATCTGCTTGACGTGTGTTTTACTACCACTAGTTGTATAGGTAGCTACTTTATAAAAGTCTGGATGTTGTTTTATTGTTTTCTTTTAGTTCAGGCCAACAGGAAAAGCTATGTTGATCTTTTTAAATTTAAGTTTGAACAACTAATAAACAGTTGCAGGAAAAGTGGTTCAAGCAGTTCAGGAGTCCCACCTTTTCCTTGACCACCCAGTAAGTCAGACAACTTGTGCCTGCCAACCAAAGGGGCAACACGAGTGGCTTACAGATGGGTGGTGGCGAGCACCTAAGCAGTGTACGCTGCCACCTTGTCCCCAGGGAGCAGCACTGTGCAGCCACCCCCCTGTAGCTCTGTTGCACTTCTTGGGCTCTAGGACATGGGACTTGGCTTAAGATCATCAGGTCCACAATGCATTTTATAGTAACCTCTAATCACTGCCTTTCAGAAACAGAGAGGAAAGTTTTTGGCACTGGTGTTTTACATATCCTTTGCACCAGCCTGAAGATTTCCTCTACTAAAGAAAAAAAAAAAAAAAAAAAAAAAAGCTATCAAAACAAGCTTCTACTGTGAAATCAGGCTGTCTCATATTGTAATGCTAATTAATCATTAACTGCCCACAATGTTCTTCACCCAGTAGTGGAATTGCTTTCTCTTTTCATGTTTAATTTCTTAGCAAATTAGTAGTGAGTGGAGGGGTCTTTGATCAAGAAATGAAAGGCTGATAAAGAACTGAGAGTTAAAACTTGGTGTCTAAGTCCTCTGGGTAGTTAATTTTTTTAGGGCTCTGTGCACCAAGCAGTTAATTGAGAGAGCCTGCCCTAGTTTTGTAACAACAAAAGTAGATGGGATCAGTGTTGCTCATTTACAAGTGGTTCCTAAGTGCATGTATGTGTGTGTGTCTGTGTGTGTTTGCGTGTTTGTGTTTAAGGAGGAGGCGTGCTGTTTATTATTAGCTCTTTTGGCATTGTTATGTACGAGAGAGATTGGAAGTGACTGAGCAGCAAGTTAGTGCCTGGATTCTACAGTCAAGAATGCTCCCAAAGTGCTTTGATAGGCAAACCAAAAATACATTTTTTCCCTCTCACTTTTGAGAAGCAGCTCAGCTTTTTTCTGCTTCATATGTAGAAGCTTGGCAACTTTCATCTAATTTTAAATGTTCAGCAAAAATGATCTATATATATGTAGAGGGAGAGAGAGACACCTCAGGGGACTTTTACTGGCCTGTTACAATTATTCTATTTCAAATACTGAAGGTAATTCTTTCAATCTTCTAACTCAATTGTTGATTCGGGTTGAAATCTTAACACTAATGAATGATGCTATAGCAGTCAAACGGTGGGATCTTGCATTGATCCATTATGCATCTAGTCCCAGCCAGGGCTGCAGAAATACCTTTTCACTGCAGATGCCCAAAGGTTATCATTGACTTGGCTTCAATTAGAACAGAACTTACCATCCTTGATCCACCCCCCGGGGAGAAAAAAAAAACGGGATATCTGCCAAAGGAAAAATTAAAAAGTAGCACTAGCCTGGGGTTGAAGAGCAAACAATGGCTAGATGCTCTCTGAGAGTGGGGCCAGCCAGCAGACATTGCCCTTCAGAGCTGGTGCTTCTCTTTTATCTCCTCAAACGGGCACACAAAGGTGGATAAAGGCTGTGCCGGACTAATGTGCTTTAAAGGAAAAAAGAAAAAAAAAAAAAAGGTTTGTCAGGAAGATGGGAAATTTTGTAAGGCTCTTTTGCTTCGCGGGCACAAATATCCAGGCTCTGATCCTGCGTGGTGTTGATCCGACTGATCAGCCCGTGCTGGTGCACATATGGATGCTTTGTTGTAAGTGCCACCGAGGCCAAGGTTGTGGTGTGTGTGAAAGGCACCTATTGTGAGTTCCTCAGCAGGGTCTGCTTTGTTTCAGAGGGGGATTTAGGTGATTACTTCGCAGGAAGCTGACACACAAAGGCACTCAGATGTCACAGTGATTAGATGGGGTAGATAGAGTAGATATTAATGGGACTAAGGAAGGGGAGCGACAGTGTTTTTGCTTCTTTTTGGGGTGGGAAGTCACTCCCAAGAGGAGAGCCACGGACAGGGTGTCTTGTACTGCTTGCTGGCAGCAATGCAGGTGCAGCTTTCCTGGCCAGCAGCCCTGCAAGCTACCCTTCTTGTTGGGCCAGTTTCAGCCGAAAATGTAATTAAGTGGTCATGCTGAATGCAGCCGGGAGGAATACGTGGTTATGTTCTGGTGTAGTTTTCTTCAGTTGTGCCAAGAGCAGGGTTTGTGGAGCATGACAGCAGGTAACTGGTGCTCACTGGTGAGGCAGAGCTTAGGGTCTGGGGAGGCAGAAAGTTTTCAGGACCGTGTAATGCTGTTTGGAGGAACTAAATCGGTGGTACCAAAACAGGCTGATCTCATGCCTGTGGCGTGTCCCGGTAGCTGAGGAAATCCTACTTAATGGAAACACGTTTTTGTGTAAACAAAAACAACAGCTCCATGCAAGGTTAAAACCCCTGCCACCACCCTGAGCCATCTGAGTCAAAACATGAGGTAAGAGGAGGTGAGGAATTAAGAACCGCGCTCTGTTCCCAGCTCTCAGACAAAGCTGCTAAGAATAGAGGTGGGATGAGGAAGGGGAAGGAAAGTCAGGAGAAGTCAAGATATTTCCTTTGAGGCCCCAGAAGGGCTTGGAGAAGGTCAGAGATGACCATCTTTTCCTCTCTGCTCTGTATCCTCGTAGCCTTGTCTGGATGCTTCAGCTGAATTGCTGCCTAGATAAGTATAAACAGTTTGTGCTGGGGCACTTTCAGCCCCTCTGTGTGACCTCAAATAAACCCTGTGAGATTTGTTGACCCAGCTTAGTTTCTGAAAGGTGCTGATAGCCTGCAGCCACCGTTGACTTCACGCAGAGACAGCGATGCTCAGCGCTCGCCCTATAAATAAGCACAAACCAGTTGCTCTAGGTTGGATGCTCGATGCTTGAGGTGCTTACAGTTAGAAGATATCCTCAATATCCAGACATCCTCGTATCTGAGCTTCCTCATCAGTCAAACAGAAATCATTATCTGGCTAGTTAGCGCGATGCTTGTGTGCCTCCCCACGTAGGGGTCTCCGGGTGCACTTAGATGATTGCTGGCAATTGAAGTACACTGCCCGAGGAGGCTGCCTGAAGCCGAGACACATGTGTGGGCCACATATGTTTTCCTGGCTGATTGTTAATGTACAGTGAAATGCTGTGGCTCAACCTTAGACATTGTGACCATGGTTTAGGTGGACAGAGTGCAACTGTCGGAGTAAACACTGTATTTGTTGGAGTTCTCTCAGTTCTAAACATGCAAAGTGTGATTAAAAACACAAAATGAAACAAACAAAAACCACCCTCTTTTTTATCCGCTTTTTTTTTTTTCCTCTCAGAAATGCCTGTCATTCTTTCGACTTGCTAGCAATAAAAGAGCAAGCCAATAAGGAGAAAATATATTTCTCTCTTCCCGAAGGACTTTGCAGAAGTGCCTGTGGTGCAGAAATACAAACTGCCTTTATATCTGAACTGGCCCTTAAATTGGGAATATTGCTTGCTGATTTTGGCACCTCGTTATCAGCATTTCCATGGCATTTCCAGAAGAACAGCACTGCTCCCAGCATGAGCAGATGACAAGGCTGAATTTGACTTTCAGACCCTTCCAAAATGACTAAAGAAATAAATAAACTGAAGTGAAGTCAAAGCAAAGGAAACGGAGTCACTAATTGTAATGTCTCTAATTATACTGTGCTAGTCTCTAGAAATACTTGCGGGAATTTCTAATTCAGTGCCACTCTGGAAGAACACTTTTGTTTCTGCTAATGAGGTCAACTTCAAACTAATGCATAAGGGCCAAATTTGTGTGGTGCAAAGTGACTGATGTCAGCATCATCTATCGTAGGATGAATCGAGCTCTCTGTGTGTCTGATCACATCATACACAGTGCTCAGGGGAAATAAGAGCTTTTTGCTTAACGATTATCATTGTCGAACCAACATTCCAGGCTTTTTGTGCTATATCGCAATCGCCTGAGTTTCTAAAGCCTCCCTTTTCCAATTCATCAGCTCTATGTGTTCCTTAAATTCTTGTGTTCTCTTTGCTCTATATGACTGTCTTATTCACTGTGAATGGGGGCAAGCTTTCATGATTTCTTGTCCATTTCCAGGGGGTGGGCAAATTAATAAACCAGCTTCGCCTAAGAGGGACGCTTTGACAGGTAGGAGAGCAGCTCTGGTTCTT